CATCATGATCTCAAGTCGATGGATAAGCCGCATGTCGTGCAGCCCCCTTGTATACATCACGTTCAGCTTGACAATGTCAGACGCCTGGATGTGCTTGTCAATGGGGTCGAGCTTCATTCTACAAAGCTACCTGCCGTACGTCTGGCACATCTCCATATCAAACTCTTTGTGCTTCGGTTTAGCCTACGAGGCTATCCGAATGGGCGCAATGATTACGTCCGTGCTTCATCTGATGCTGCTGGCTGTGAGCCATTACCTGTCGATCATGCATCCGCTGCGGTACAGGAGCTTGCTGACTCCAGAAATCAGTTTGCTGTGCATCGTGTTGTCTTGGTTGATGCCCACGGCTTGTTTCCTGTTGTTTTTCAGCATGGTGCCAGGCCAAGCGTTTCTCTCCTCCGAATGCAGTGAGATCACGTTCTTTTGTATGCTGACCTTCCGCGCCATAGTCGCCACGCTCATCTGCGCACCGCTCGCTCTCTGCATCCTTATTTATATGCGAATTTTCTACGTAGCGCTGCGAAGCCAGCGACGACGGCGCAGAAACGAGGGAAATACCTCGCGGGTGCGTCGAAGCTACAACTTCAAAGCGGTGGTCACAACTGGGCTGGTTTTGGGTAAGTAGAAGTTTCGTCACACGGGCGTGTGCGTTGCTCGCCGTAGGGCAAAGCAACGGTTGCATGCTTGTTTTCCTGTTCGGCTGTCACTCATTTCATCATCACTCATCTATAAATTACCTCTTATCGACACAGCGCCGTCCGCGAATTTACCGTTTTTCGTTGCCCAATTTGCCAGCTGTCGCTCGAGTGCATGCCGCCACCGCCAACGAGTTAGCAAAACCGTTTTCCACAATTACAGCCCTGTTAGGATAGATTCCATTCTACATACGTCGAGGCTACTACCGCAAGCTAGCTATCACATCACACGCTACGCGGTCGGCAGGACAGCTACAAACGCGGCAGATGAAGCCTTTTCCATCATCGACCGGTGCAAATGGTCTGATTACCCAACTCTCCCAAGTCAGCGCACGCATCGTCGTCAAAGTTAAGCTTAATTTCAGTCAGTGCAGCGTTCAGGATGGTTACTGCGGAAAATAGATGACGGCTTCAGAATGCAAAACGCCAAGCCTCAGTAAGCAAAATGACTCATTTACTCCACAGGCGCTGGGTAGCGCACTCAACTGAGCGCTGTATTTTGTCCTGTGTAGCAGTTATATCGTGTGCTTAACGAATGTCT